GCCGGGCTGAGGGCAGAGCGCCTGGCCCGGGTCCCCCGGGGGGGGCTGGGGATGCTGCAGAGGGGGATGGGGGGGCGGAGTTTTAAAAGCTAGCAGAAATGTATAAAGCTGGAAGAAGAAGCCTCCTGGGAAGAGGCTGGTCTGGAAAAAATCACACGCGTTGGAAATTCGTGCCCCATCCCCAGTGCTGGTCCCATGGATTGCGCTTTGCTTCATCCCGTCCTGTATTCCACCTCCTCCTGAGTGGGTTTGGTGCCCTATGAAATGCGGGTGGGTAAGGGACGGTGGCTTTTTGGAGCTGCTGCCACGAAATGGCTTTGTGCTGGTGGACGTTTGTAAGAGGCACTCATTAATTTAAATGCTAGATCAAATGTTAGTGTCCTTTGATTCTCGTCACACTGACTGTATCCTTCAGAGTCTGCCTGAGACTTCACCTCGTTTAAGAGATCCTGTTAGTTTAACTATAAAGTAATAACTGTGTTTAATATTAAACTAACAATGTAGTTCGAATAAGCTGATGCATATTCATGTTTGGGAGGTAACTTCATTCCTCAGTAATGACTCATCAAATGTAAAATCAGGCATGTTAGCTTCTAATTAAAAAGGCTATTCACAAAGCTAAAACCAAACTGGCTTTCACAATAAACTAATCGCTGGGATTTCGAAGCCTCAGCTGCTTGAGAAATATTTCTACTTAAGCTTGGAAAATGGAAAGGTGACATTTGAAAGACACTCGGCTGTATGAAAGCCTCAGCTGATTTCGAATTCCTCGAGTTCCTGCTGCATCTGCTGGGGGCAGAAGTGCTGAATCTTGGCTGCTGGAGCTTTCAACCAAATGACACATGAGAGCTACTGTCAGGGCACTGCCCTTGAGTTGTGCAAGGCTGGTGAAGCTCGGCGCTGTTAAAAGCCCGCTGTGGTGCAGCATCAAATGTTCCACCAGTTATTACTGTTTAGTTCCACAAAACTGACACAAAACTGGTGTCGGAGCTGCTGAAAAGGATGTTGCCACTAGCAACTTCAAACACGAAATAACTGAGGGCTGTAATTCTGACCAACCGCACTGGCAGACCCTGTATTTAGGGCTGACTAATCTGAAACAAGTAACCTAAAAGGCAGTTATTTATTGCATGCTCTTGTTGTTGTGGTAGGTGGGAAGCGGCAGGTCAGGACGCAGGCAGGGTTTGCGCGCGCCTGGCTGTCAGAGTCAATTATCTGAACCACACGTAACGTGAGGTGCTGTTTTGGGAAGCAGGTCAGCAGCTGCCTAACCCTTTAAATATCCAACCCTCTGGGGAAAATGCATACCTGAACCCACTGGCTGCAGCCGGGGAGGTGTGCTTCAGGTTGAGACTGGTAGGCTGAAGCCTCCTGTCCTCGGGGAAGCAACAGGGCACTCTGCAGGTTGGGGCTTTTTTGGGTGATTTGGGACAAGACTGACTTGAACAGTTGGATTTATTTTTTTTTTCCCCTTTTCTGACTACATTTTGCATGGGTGGACCTGTAAACCAGGGAAGCTCCACTAAGCCTGAAGCTTATGGGTCTGAAATGCTGCAGGTCCCGAGCAGTGCCCAGAGAGGGGTTAAGCAGATGTTCTTTGGGGCTAGGAAATTAATCTGGAATGAGGTCTTCTCCAAGCACTGGTCCTAGCTCTGCATCTAACACTTTTGTGACCTATATCTTGTCTCTCTCGAACCCTAATAGCACAAAACTTAACTCCACCAGTAGTGCTGGAGCTGTGCCTCGGGTGAGTGACTCCAGTGGCAGTTGGCAACAACTGCACTCCAGGAACTCCCCTGGATCCACTGCCTGATATTTATTCTATATGGGGGAATAACCCTGTGTCTCTCTTAGTCCAAAAACTGAATTTAATCCTATCTGCCTTCAAAACCAACTGCTTTTGTGGCTGGATTGGATGCTCTGGTGGGGACTTGGGACTTCCGATGGTGAATAGCTCACTGGTTAACTGTTGCCTGACATGTGACTGTCACCATTCGGTTGGCAAGGAGCCCGGGCACATTTCTCGCCTGAGCAGCTCACGTCAGGGAGTAATAGGGGAAACACCAGCAGAGAAGCTGCGTCGTGAGATTTAACAACCTCCTGAGCTTTTACTTTAACAAGTTTAAAAAAAAAACTCATTAGTTGGTACCAAGACATCCCCTGTTTGTAGGGGCGCCTCGGGGCAGTGGAAGCTGACTGGCCCGGTGTCTCCGTGTGGTCCCCGAGTGGTCTGTGCTGTGGACTGCAGTCCTTCACCTTTACCTATTGTTTCTCCTTAACAAAACTCGTGTGGGGTGGTTTTACGGCTACTGAGACTCTGAGCTACAGTGCTCTGGTGTCCCCAGGACTGTCTGCTCCAGGCCATGTTAACCACGCAGGGGTTTCGGCCCCTCTGATAAGGTTTTGAGTTTTCATGTGGCCTCCTAAATTGGGAAAACCTTGCAGGGCTGAGTAGCCCGGTCAGACTGGCTCCTAGAGATACAGCTTGCCTACTTGTAGGCCAAGCTTTGGCTCTTTCAAGCTCTAGCCTTGCTTCGAGCGCCGGGTGAGCAGGCTGGCTAGGTGGGACTCGCAGGAGAGTGGGTAATTGCTGGAGAGAAACATGAAAGCAGGATGAGGGATGGGAAGAGCTTCTGGTGGAAGATGTGAACTTAATCTTCCTGGGATCTTTGAGCTCAGTTAAACTTAAATTATAAGCTGGTGTCCAGGTAGTTTAGTTTATGGTCTTGGGGTTATTTCAGCCTCCTGCATGTTAAGTAATCGGACAAGTGATTCAGCTTCACTCTAAATGAACAAAGCTTTGGAGGTACCGGTGGGTGTGCCAGGACTGAGCAGGCAGCATTAAAATCGCTGGAGTAACACCCGTAAGATGAAAGCTGCCTCTTGTGCTTGATAGCATGCCAAATTCAGCACGAAGCTCTGACACACTGGAAATTGTTAGGATACACTTACTAGTTAGGACATGAACTTGCATACGCCTGGCTGGGGCTTTTGAGCAGTTCTGGCATCTTGATTTGCCTTTAATGAGTCTTGACAGGCAAAGGGGATGGCTGAAAGGAGTGAGCCGCCCTGATTAAATCAACAGGACTGCTGCAGACTGTGCTGCCGCCTTGTATTTGGAGTCCTTTTTGGATCGGCTGGTCTTAGCCTGATGGCTGGAAAGGCTGGCTGCGACCATGGAGGGGTGAAGGGGGCTTAGACCGCCCCAAAGAAGGGATTCAGATAACACCTCAGCTTTTGGGGGGAAGGAAGGGAAGGGCAAACAGCTGTACTGGAAGCAGAATCAGCCGTTCATGTGCAATACGAGCCCTCTAATGCAAGGGAGTAAGGAAAGGAGAGCCACCCCAACTCTGGATGCTTTCCAAAGTGACCTATTTCTAATGGATTAGCTTTTTATTTCACTGTCTTGCACTGGAGTGACCCATATAAGCGCAGGGAGTGAATCCTGCTGCTCTAAGCCAGCTTCTTGCTTCTCACTGACTCTCTTTATATCTCAGGTTGTCCGTAGTCGCCTGGAGAAGAAAGGAATCGCAGTCCATAATGTAAGGTTGAATGGCTCGGCAGCTAGTCACGTTCTGCATCAAGACAGTGGTTTGGGTTACAAAGACCTAGATCTCATCTTCGGTGTAGATCTGAAGACCGAAGATGTCTTCCAGCTTGTTAAAGATGTGGTCATGGACTGCCTTCTTGACTTCCTCCCAGAAGGTGTCAACAAAGACAAGATCACCCCTGTGACTCTGAAGGAGGCCTACGTGCAGAAGCTTGTGAAGGTGTGCAACGAAACCGACCGCTGGAGCCTCATATCGCTCTCCAACAACAGCGGGAAGAACGTGGAACTCAAATTTGTGGACTCTCTCAGACGGCAGTTCGAGTTCAGTGTGGACTCCTTCCAGATCATCCTGGATTCGCTTCTGCTGTTTGGGGAGTGTTCAGAGAACCCCATGGCTGAGAACTTCCACCCCACGGTCACTGGGGAGAGCATGTACGGGGACTTTGAGGAGGCAATGGACCATCTCCGGAACAGGATCATCGCCACGAGGAACCCGGAGGAGATCAGAGGTGGGGGGCTTCTGAAATACTGCAACCTCTTGGTGAGGGGGTTTAAGCCCAAATCGGAAGTGGATATGAAGGCGCTACAGAGATACATGTGCTCCAGGTTTTTCATAGACTTCTCTGACATCGGTGAGCAGCAGAGGAAGCTGGAGTGCTACCTCCAGAGCCACTTTGTTGGGATGGAGAGCAAAAGATATGACTATTTGATGACCCTCCACAGGGTGGTCAATGAGAGCACAGTCTGCCTTATGGGACATGAAAGGAGGCAGACCCTGAACCTCATTGCCATGCTGGCTGTGAGAGTCCTGGCTGAGCAGAACATCATCCCCACGGTCACAAACGTGACCTGCTACTACCAGCCAGCTCCCTATGTCAGTGAAATAAACTTCAACTACTATGTCACCCACGTGCAGCCCTTCCTGCCTTGCAATCAGTCCTACCCAACGTGGCTTCCCTGTAACTGAGCCGGGACGAACTTCAGGGTCTGTCTGTCCTCCAAGGTACTTCCTTGCCTTGGGGAGTGGGGAGGGGAAGGGGTCAAAAAAAAAAAAAAAAGAACTTCTTAGAACTGCAACAAAAGGAAACTTCCTGGACTTTTGCTTGAGCGTCTTGTTCCTGGGGTTGTTGGAACGAGGCCTGGCTGCTGTACACTGTGATGGGAAGTGCAGTGTTACGGAAACTAGATGACTTGGACGTTTACAGGAAGACTCGATTGCTTATTGAATTCTGGAGGCGATGGGGGAGGGTGGGGGTGCGTGAGGGGAGATTGTAGAATTACGCTAAGGTAGAGCTGCACTGCCCTGAAATGGATCTGAATTGTGGTTGGTTTTTCTTTTTTTTTAGTGCGGGAGGTGTTATGGGTGTGCAGACTTGTGGTTTCTGAAGATAGAAGCCAGAGTGGCTAATTCCTTTGAAGGACCAAAGAATCCTGTTTAAGTGCCTGTAACAATATAAACACAACTGTACTGTAAACCTTACATTATTTTTTTTTTTTTTTGCAGGGGGTGACATCCCAAGAGCTTGAGTGGGGATGTCCGATGAGGAAAATGTTTCTGTTGGGGAGGGGGGAGGGCGGGGAGGGTCGTAAGATCATTTCTAGTAACCTCGCCGAAGCACGAATGGGATTGCAGGTTACATGTCGCTGAGGTGGTTTTTTTTGGCATGGCTTGCTGCCCGGGAAGGACCAGCTGTAGCAAATAGCTGTCAAAAGTGGAGTTGCGTAAACAGGGGTGGGGGGGGTGCATGGTGGAAAATGCTGTGCAGAGCTTTATGGAGAAAAGGCAGCGGGGACCTACGTATGAATTTACTCGAGCTCCCGAGTCTGCAGTGCCAAAATGTAATCATGTACATAAACGATGAGGCAGAAGGTCTGTCCAGGAGCCTGCCCCAGGCTGCCGTACCTGATCGTGTATTTTCTAGGGGAATTTGAAATGCTGCTTACTCTTTTTTTTTTTTTTTTTTTTTTGGCATGCAAGCGTGGTTTTAATGCACAAAGCCAGAGGCCGGCTGGGTTATCTGGGACGATGAGGCTTGTCCCTTGAAGCACAAACCAACTAGTTCACTAGTCAGTTGTGTCCAGCTGTTGCTGTGATGGGGGCTGGAGCCCGTGTCCTTCTAGAAGATAGGCGGACCTCTTCCAGACTCTAGCTGGACATCTTCCCTCTGCCCTTGGGCAGGTCCTGTCTTCAAAAGCAGCCTGTTTCCAGCTGTGTGATTCCACATGTGAGCCATCGATAGCATTTGAAATTCATTCTCTAGCTAGAAATGGAGCTTGGGGTGGGAGGGAGAGGTTGTGCAGAAGTCAATTGGCCTTAGGAAAAAGTATGTCTTCTGTAAGCAAACCCTCTTGTGTCTTGATGAGGGTTTGGCTCTCGTAGTCGAATGTGGCTTTGAAGTTGTTGGGTATCTAGAGCACAACCAGTCTTTCACTGCGGTGCCTGGATTGCCGTGCCCGTCCTCGTCAAACATCATCTCAGACTTAACTATGCACACGGATGGAGAGGTGGGCGAGCAAGCAGGCGCTCCCTAGAGATGCTGCTCTGGGAACACCGTGGCTTCATGGTGCTTCCTCCCAGGCTGACATACTTGAGTATCTTTAACTTGTGGGGTTTTTTTTATTTTTGTTTTTGTGACGAAACTGTAATAGCTGGGCAGACCGAACACTCTAATAAAGACTAGATCCTTGGAATGTGTATAGCCAGATTGCAACCTTTTTTGGGGTAGGGGCGATGTGGAGTTGGGCATAAGGGGATGGGTGGGGGGGAAGAGTGATTTGGGGGCTCTTGCACTTAACATGAACTAACCAGTTTGAAATTGGTCCAGCTTTGCTTCCTATCCAGTCAGAGCTGAAGAAGTGTCACTAACGATGTAGTTACTACAGGTTTAACTGCCTTCCTGCAGAACAGCTTTGCCTTCACGGACAAGGCTGGCGTGTAGGCTCTGCCACAGCCCAGTAACTCCCTGGTGCCCAGAGCCTAATCCCTGTGGTGGGAGCTTGAGATTTTCCAGTGCGAGGTAAAACTGGTGTAAGGGCTGCTTTTGAGATCCGAAGCATGCCACCTCTGTGGCTTCAAGGGAGGATATTTTTTTTTTCCTTGCATTTTAAACTCCAGATGAACATAGATGACATGTAGCATGCTTTTTTACAGGCTGCGTACCCTCTGCCCACAGACACGTAGACGCACTAAACTGAGATTCCCTCCTTCCCATTTAAGATGTCAAAAAGATTCCCGACAGCCAACAGCTCGACAGGGCGACTTAACGTTGAGATTGCACTTTTGATTTACGGAGTGTGTGTGGTGGGACTCTTGTGAATGGGTTGAACCTGAATTTTTTCTAAACCTTGCAGTGATACTGTGCTGCTCCCTCCTGTGAGGGGGCAATTGGAAGATTCCAGTAGCTTGAATGGCACTTGATTTTGTTTTAAATGTTCTTTTTTTTTTTTTCCTACACCTGTATCACCTGTCATGCGATGGGCTTGACATAGACTCACTAGATTCTTTAGAATCTGTTACAAATAAATACAGTGTATTCAAATTTGTTGGATTTTTTTTTATTATTCTTATTTGTTTGTCCATCCGGGTAGCGTGGTGTTGGGATAGATGTCCCTACTCCTACCGAAAACCGGGCTCCAAACCAACTGGTCGCCTCGAGAGGAGCGAGCTGGGATCCTGGGTCTGGACCTGGCTCAAGGCTGCTCCTGTGTTGGGCTTAGTCCCTCAAACCGAAGCGGCCGCGGAGCCTGGGAAGCGTGTAGCTGTTGGCAGGTCACTCCGGCGGCCGAGGGAGGTTTCTATTTATAACACTGTTCTTTAGTGTTGTGCATCTTCCCTTTTCCTGGTGGCTCCTCAAGTTGCTGGTGGGGGAGGGTGGCCGTGGTGATCTGAGGTCCCTTGTCTTGGGGACAGTACTGGGAGACTTTCGCTGCTGCCGCTGCCTTTCCACGACTTCATTCTTGTCCCCTGATGGTTGCAAACAGCAGAAGGTTGCTTGAGTAATTAAGACTTGCTTATTTTGTGTAGCTGAGCCACCTGCAAAGTGGTTCCTTTTGGAAAGGGGAGAGCGAGAGGCTCTGAAAGATTTATCTTCCCCCTCAAAAAAAAAAAAGTTGGAATCTGCTGATGTTCAGGCCAGATTCCCGTGCCATGGCTGGAAGCTGGGTGCAGGCTCCTCCGACTCTGGCTGCCTTCCAGCCTGAGATGAAGTTTCACTTCCCCTTGTCAACCTACAGGCAGTTCTGGTTCCACTGCAGCAATCGAGCTGATGACGTCCCAGTCCCTCTTTGGGACAAACTTGCTGGCTCTGCATCTCTAAATTTTTACAGTCCGGGGCCAAGCTTCCCTCTGACAACAGGTCTGGGTGGTTCTTCTCGGGCTGGCACCGTGTAAGGCTGTGTCCCTGTCACCTCCTCCAGCAGGACTCTGCTCTCGCAGAGCTGATTTCTCTCTCAACCTGTTGGCAGCGCGATGGGATGGTTGCCTCTCGCTGGCACGCAACCCGGCACGATGCTCCTGCTCCCATCTTGCGTACGGGAGTGGCTCTAAAATATCTGCTTAGTTTGTCAGCTGTCTTCTCAGTGCCAGTGGTCGGTCCTGCCGGTGGCTGTTGATGCTCTGGTGAATAAGCTGCCTCTGGATTTGTGGCCCTGAGCAGAGCAGCAAAAGCCCTGACAGAGTCGGCTCGTCATTGTTGGAGCGGATCAGACTATACAAAGGGACGTTCGTGGAAAGTACTAGTTGTGATCAGAAAGGAGCTATCAATGTTTACAACTGAGATTTGGATCCCTCTTTTGTTAATTGTCAAATAAATTAAAAAAAAAAAAACAAAAAAAACAACAAACCACCATATATTTTCTCACAGCCTGTAGTCTGTCATTATTCGGGGTTTTTTCCCCCTCTTTGAACAGAGGGTGATGGACAAGTCAGGATGTGCCCGAGTATCTGGTGGGTGAGATTTGGACTCTAGCGATGGGTGTGTTGGTGCGCGCTGGGTGCCTGAGTGCTTCTCTCAGCCTTGGCTCTAGAGCTTTGCTCCGACGCGTGCTGGGGTGGCTGTGGCTCTGCCCCAGCACTTCCCTATATTTAGAGGGCTGGTGGTGTGCCCGCGGCAGACTGGTCTGGGTTCTGCTGGTGGTGTGCCCAGTTGGGATAACTGAAGTCAGGCGTGGAGAAGCCCACGCTGCAGTCTGCGCGTGAGGACGGCGGTGTGGTACGGTACAGCACGTGCCCTGCGGCACCTCCGCAAAGGGCCGGTGGGTGATCGATGCCTTGAGATGCATCCAAAAACGCCCCGTGTTGTATCAGCGCCGTCATTCGCAGGGCTTACAGCTGCAGACCTGCCCACGGCAGCTTTTTCTCCTGGAAGGACACCTGGCCGAGCTCCAAAAGCACTGAAACGGGAGGAATTTGTCTCGAACCTCCAGAATGCAAGAAGCGTCTTGCTCCAACCTTGCTGCTTTCAGCTGTCCTTAATCTCTTGGCTCAATGCCGAGGGTGGCACCGTCTATATGCCGGCAGGTAGCAAGACCCAAATTGTATCTCAAATCTCTCTAATTAGCCTTCCTTATAGTACGCTGGCGTTTCTACCCGGCCGTCCTCCTCCTCGGTAGCCGCTCGGGCAGCGCGGGTGTTAACTCTGCTATTTGAGATCGCGCAGAATGAAGAGAACAGTCTGTCTGTGCGGCTCCTCTTTCCATTTATAGCTGTGTTTAGGCGATCCGGCACACGGACCCTTGTGCTCTGACGCCTGGTGCCAAGCACGAGACAAATGCTTCATTGATATGTACAGACCGGGAGGGCAGTTTGCTCCCGGCGGGGCAGTGGCAGTGGGGTTGGGACGGAGCTGAGCTGCCGGAGGATGGCACCAACTCGGTCCCCTTTGCTGCGGTGCTGAGCCCCGGGAGCAGCTGAGCCTTGAGGGGGTGGAGGGCCGATAGCGAGAAACGTTGCGGCGTGCAACTTGGGCT